AGTGGCGTACGCTGATTAGTGATTAGACTGATTACCATTTTTCTCAGATTTTCCAGCCCTTGCTAAAATCATTCTTGCGCAGGAACCTTTGCTAATACATATACCACTCTCCAATTACAATAAATATACATATATTCAGTAATACAAAAATAAGTTTCAATAATAAATAACATTCTTGTTCAGGGGCCTTACATGGTAAAATACTGTGCGTGCTTTACGTGACATTTATTATTTTTACTGTGCAAAAATTAATTAAATACTGATCATTTATCATTTTATACTGATCAAAATTTAATTATTTACTGATCGATTTATTATTACCCTTTTTTAAATGCTACATTTTGACACTATAGTGGCATTAAACACGTCATTCGTTTTCGAGTTTTTTTAAATGTCAATCGACATTTTTTATTACTGTTTAGATAGTACACATCGTTATCTTTCTGGTAATAATTAATTAATTTATTATTTATAATTAATTTATTATTTTTCTTGAACATACAGCGTACCAAATGGGTTTTTTATATCCTTTCTGTGAACTGAAGGCGTGTCGGCTAGTAATTTGGCGTTATCAGTTATCTGCCAATATGTTTTTAATCGCCGGCTTGAGAAAATTGGGGCTAAGACAGCGTTCCGGAGGAGTATTAATAGTGTAATAAAATGCATCAATGGCTGATGTGATAAAGTACGGGCTGGTAGATCTGCCGCTAAAACCATTGGGTTATACATAATGAAACATTAATATGTCAGGTATTTCCCCGGGCACTTCATATTACCTAATTATTGCAGGGTATTGTGCGCTGGAACTTGAACAGCAATTGAAATGCGTTGCTCACACAATAAATTTCCACAAGACAAGTGCTTAATTGAACCGAGTTTTTATCGTTAATTTTTGGAATGTGCTCATCGAGTGAGATCTGTGTCGTGATTTTTGACCAATTTGCGGTGATTTATGAAGGCTAATATCAAGGATTAGGGTTATTTCGAGGCGTATCAGAATAAGTAGAAATAAGTGAGTTGGGTTAATGTTATTTTGTCACAAATGTTCTCGCAGTCGATTAATTGCCTCATTGAGTTTACAATTATGATGAAATGCCAACTGTTGAATTGCTTGAGCTGGTGACGTATCAATATAATAAATTTCCTCTGATGGCACGAGTACAAAAAAGAGTTCAAATCCGAAAAGCACACGCAACTATTGTACATGTAAGTTTGAAAGCCAATAAAGATAAGTTTAACGTCGAGATTGCATCGTTAATTTTCAGTATTAGTTGAGTTAAAAAGTTAAAAATCGTTGTAGGAATCGCTGAGAGCAGGTCTCAAGTTCTAACGCGAATATGCTTGTTACTTTCATGTTTATTCGGCATTTAGCGACATTTATATAATCCATCTAGTAAGATTCTTGTGCATAGCAATATTCAGGGATTCTCGACGGGATTCGCAACTGAAGAGCGAATTAAAGGGATTTCAGACGCGTCACTTATCGGATGATGCGAACCGCAGGCTAAACAAATAAGCGTCGCGTGTTAACAATTATGAATAGAATTATCCACCTGTTTTCTTTTGATTTGGATAATTGTATTTGGTGCGAGTCAGAATGACAGTTTACTCATAAATCCGAGTAGAATCTGGTGTTTCCTAATCATACGATGCAGTTTCCACGTCACTCATGCAGCGAAATTGAATATTTAAAGTTTAAAGCTAAATCGGGACTATTGATTTTAGTCGTATTATCATTTGTCGCGTTGTATTCTACCTTCGACAAAATCTTCGTGTACTTTTTCCCCAAGTTCATACATATTTAATTCTAAGCCATTTACAAAATCATTAATCAAATTATCTGTTGTTAAGAGAGTTTTTTCGAATTGAATCAAAAACGGCTTTCCCAAATTAAATGAATTTTTTACCCTAAACGAAGTATTGATTTTAAAATTAATTTTGAAACATTCCCTAATTAGCTTAAAATCGTCCGAAAGTTTCTCTATATTTTGTTACGAGCGAAGGGGGCCTTTAACGTTGTTTTGGAATTTCGCATTACCAGTTAAAGTAATGTAACCAATAAAACTAGAGGAATAAATAAAATGAGACCTAAAACGGAGCGAACTCCGTAACCCTGACATGTAATACACTCTTCCCATCACCTTGAATTTATACATTCCAAAACGACGAAATAAAATTATTTTGTCACAACATTTTTAATTGACGATTCACTAAGCAAAAAAAAAACAAATAATATTGAGGAATTAAAGAATTGAAAAGCAAGTAAAAGCAAAAGCAGTGACGCAGCGAGGGGGGATTTTGTGGGTTAAATACCAAATGCAAAATTAGCAATAAAAAATAGCGGACGTATAAGAGCGCGAATTTTAAAACGTGTGCACATGTTCTAATAAATATAATAAGAGAGAGAAAGAGTGCTAAAAGCAAATAAGGAACGTAAAGCATAATAAAAAAGAGAAAGAGCCTAAGAACAAATAAGTAAACAAAGCGTAAATAAGCACTAAAAGATGGCGGGGGTATAAGAGGGCTAACTTTAAAACATGTATTTACAAAAATATTAATAGTGTAAAAAGTGAATAGTGTTTAAGTAAACAAAAGGTAAATCAAAACAAATATAAAGAAGAGGTAAGGTAAGTTTGGTAATTTTTATTAATTATTATTACTAATAATTCAAATAACTTAAAACATGTACATAAGTGTACTTGTAAAATTGATATAAGTACAAATGGTAAGTAAAGTAAAAGTAGCATGAAATGTATAATAAAATATATAGAAATAAATAAAAACTTTTTATTATTTTGTTAATTTCGGCTAAAGTGTATTGACAATGGTTAATGTTTTAAACTATACTTATGACTTGTTTAACCTGTTTTAAATAACTTTTTGACGTATCTGTTGATAAAAAGCTGTCTTGGATAAAAATGAAAAATCTTAGTTATCCGATAATTTGAAACTTGGCATAGGGGCCTAGATGTTGATTCTAAAAAACTTTTCTCATAAAATTTTTGTCGTATTTGCAATATAATAGATACTTTACAAAAAAATAGGTTTTTCGGAAATTTTCTAAGACATACATAACTTGTGTTTAGCTATAGCTGATTTGTTTGCCAAAAAACTCAAGGAAAGAATTAAACCACAACTGAACAACAACGACACAAAAATTTTGATGATATGTCACTCGTCAAATGTCATTAAAATTTATATTACGTAATACGAAATAAGAAAACACATGCCGTTTTTTACTACGTCTTCTTTTATCAACAAGTTAAAGTTAAGTTATTATCTAAGGGCCATTATTCATAAAATGTCAACCGAATGACATTGCTGTTCCACTTTTTCTGGGTACTTTTAAAATTACGTCGTAAATACTCTGTCTGTCAGTAAAGACTGTTGTGACAATTATGCCCAGACCACATCGTCTTTTTTGAAATGACGTTTAATTGAGTGCCCAAAAGAAAACCCCCCCAAATTATATCTCTGGCTGCGCCACTGTTCAATAACAGTGTTGTAGAGAGAGGCAAAGCTGCTGCTTTTCCACTCAATTAGGCTATAAGAGAAATAAACAACTCGTTGCGAGGTATTGTACGACGGAATCCCGATATTATAAAAATCAGGTTGTGAAGAATATGATCGAGTGCATCCAAGTCTTCTTTCTCGTATTTTATAGCTATTGAAAGAGACGTTCGTTGGCTTTTTGCCAGGAAGGCTCACAACCAGTAAATATTATATATCCGTCTAAAATTAGGAATCATGCAGTCGACGGGAAATATGCCTGAGATTTACGTAAAACCTACACTGACAAATTTCAAATGCATTAACTGTCAACTCTTTCACAATTTAGATAGAAAATTTTATTTAAAACAACTTTCGAATGACGACGTATTTTTTGAAAGTGTGCATATCGGGAACATAAACACGTCGTGAGCTGTTCTTAGAAATCTGTGCTCAAGTTTTTCCTTTTGTTTGACGCAGTGGAAATCAGATTTAATTAAAGCGCCATTATTAGCACTTGCGTGGCTTAAACAACGGTTTTTATGTGGTTAAAGCTTTCTGATCATTTAGTTAATATCGACATAATTAGATCTCGTCGATGCGATTGCAGAGTGTAATTACGCCATGAACAATATTTATACATTCTATTTTTAAGTACATGTTTAGGTTTGTGACAGTTGTTAAACAGACAGCCAAATATCTATCAACTGCTTAAAATGTAACGTTTTCAAATGACAACGAATTGATTTGCAGATACATGCAAAATAAATTCTCGATCCCCGTAAACCACCTTCAATTTTGATGTATTTTTAAGGTAGTCACGAATATTTATTGCCTTTTTCATGACTTGTAAAATCTATTCCTGTCGTAAAAATATTTTGCTATGGTAAAAATGAGCAACTTTTACGTACGCAATTTTAATCCCGCGTTGACAGATAATGTCAGTTTTATTAACACATCAATTTTTACTTTTCATAATAAAAAGCAAATAAAAGCTTTACGGGATGTTTTCTTAAATGTTATAATTCGACAATTTGACAATTCTTTATTCTGCCTGATTGCACTCTCGTTTCATCTCAACACAGATTTGATGGTACAATAAAAGGTTTTAAGACATTTCGAAAAATAATTAATCAGTTTGTTTTTTTTTTTTTTTGTAATAAAGTGGTTACTTTAATAATAACCTGTCTAATTTGGTAGTGGTGCGTCTGCTGTTGGCCCCAACTTGAGAGTGAATTTTGGAGTAATAGAAATAAGAGTTTGAGGAAATGATAAAATTGAGTTATTTAAGACGGTGGAGCGTGTCGCCAAGATTTAATTAAAAAGAAAATCAAAACTTAATCAGGTTCCTGATAGTGTAGGGTAAAATAAAATTTGTTTTTATTTGTCGTCGGAAAGTTTGTTTATGAATCGGGGCTTCAGTGTCTGTTTTATTCAAGTTGAAATAAACACGGTAAAGTAAAATCGCATAATTTGAAGATTAGAGAGTGAAATATGCAAAAACAACTCACCTAATTCCGGGCCACAAACTCTTGGAATAATTTCGAGAATGGCTGAACAGGAGGCGTCATCGAAGCAGAGTTGGCGCGCAACTAGACAGTTTAAAGTAGCGCCTCCATTTTTGATATTGGGACCTGAAACAAGAATTTTACATGTACGAATATCAAAAGGTTCATTGATAAGCAGTTTGGGGCTCCTCGTTATCTTACAAATGACGATCTCGACGTCGAGTCTAATGATGCGTTAACTATGGGGCGGCTTAACTTCCAACTTGCGCAACATTTTCATAATTCCTATTTACATTTCGTCTTTTACTCAAACAAATTCGCTATACGCGGCCGAATTTGATGCGTGACAATTTAATTATAAACCACTTTTATAATTTTTTTTCTTATAAGTACGCCTGCAAAACAAATTTGAAATTCTTTAAACATGCAAATATGTACAACAAAGGGTCTGTATTGTTGATGTTTCAACAGTTGCGAAGCTGGTCATCCATCATATATATATATATTATACATAAAGTACAAAAACAGCCTCAGGTAGCATACTTGCAGCAAGACCACATCACACACCAAATGATGTTGCGAGTTCAAGAGGAAACCACCTCAAAACTACCACTAAATTAATTAACAACTCTAATTTTACCCACTCATTAAAACATTTGTTCCACTCCATGCAACCTTTATTCGCTCAAGAACAAATCTCATATCTTCCTTCCATCACGATTAATAACTTAATTTACAGTGTCATACATCTACACTCTACTAAAAAAAAATCATAAATTAAGCAATTTGAAATTGAATTTGCTTTGATTCGGTTTTAAACAGGCTGTATATGTAATTGTAATTTCCATGTTAAGTTGGGAAAAAAAACACAAGAAAGTTCATTTTTATTACTCACTTCTTTGAGATTCAAATTGCTCGGAGCTATTCTTTGAAGAAAAGGAGGTGTATAAGGAAAAGAAAAGTTGGACTCTAAGAACTGAAACTCTTTTAGACAATAACGTCACCTGCTGATGGATCTGAACAATTGCATAATACAAATTTCTTGCGAAATACGGAAAATAATGCAACTTTTTCTAAAGTATCTTATCAGAACTTTATAGAAAAGAAATAAAGCCTTTGTAACTGTTTCCGAGCGAGCGAACTATTACAGAAACCTGCTTTTATAGATAATTTACAAAGTTTAATATTTTTATTTACTTATACAGAGTGGGTCAAAGAAATTGAACCCTTGAATGAAAAAGATGAATTTATGTTACCGTCAAAAAAATGCTGTTACATGAAATTCATCATTTTTATGTCGACTTAACTGTAGAGTGCTGTTACGCATTCGAAAGTACTATAAATCCTATAGTTCCTGACTTACCAACTTTATGAACGGTGTAATTTATTTTTATATCGTTGGATAGCTTCGATTTTTGCTCTCTTATAAAGATGTATGACACTCTCATAACATTTTAAACAGTTACGAGCACGAGATTTTGTGTCTTTTTATAAACATGGAAAATTCAAAAATATAGCCCAATTTATAAAGTGACAAAAGCATCGACAACACAAAATTAATAAATACAAGAGTGGTAATTTTCCTTTCTCTGATTCAGTAAAATAACGACGTTCCTTAAAAATTTATAGCGCACCGCTTTTGAGGTAATGTGCTCTACTTCGGTTGAAAGACAAATCTAATTCGATTTGTCAAGACCAATGTACAAAGTTGCCTGATTTATACCGTTACTTCTTATAAGTTACAAATACTGATAAAATTGAAGTTATAATAGTTATGTCTTTGCTGCATTACCCGTGGCTCGGAACGCCGCACCGTTCAAATATGGCTGCAATAAGAACGCTAAACTCAATTCCTCCATGTGCAAATTGGTTTCACTCTTGTTTGACCTCGCACCCAGTCAAAAGTTATACACTCAAATAATGGGCCGTTACACGAGTAACTTTAACGTTTCACAATCCTGTAAAGATTAAGGATGCTATTGGTATCTAGTAACGCATTTATTACTTCCGAACGTTCTTTATTGGGCTATTACTTTTCAGGGAAAGTTTAGTGCACCACTTTATTCAGATGTAAGTTTTATTAACAAGGACAGTTTTCAGGCACGTCACACATTTAGCTTTTTACTACTAGGGTATTAACTAGATTTTGTGGTGCAGTTATTTGTCTAACAAAACACTAAAGTTGAATATTTTATCACGAATATGAGTCTATTGTGTTGTCTTGACAAGAAAGGTGAAAGAAGACACGTGAGACAAGAGTCACCAATAATTGCCAGTTGTCTCGCTTCCATTAATCATAAGTTGTAGACAGAGCAACTCGATGTTTAGCTTCTGATTCTGAATAATTGCTTTATGTTCCGTGAAATTGATTGTGATCCTGTAAGCGGCCGAATCATCGGATGGGTAAAAAACACGACTAGATTGGATGGTCGATGGGTAATTGGGGGTGCTGGAAGAGAGTGGAGGGATGAGTTATCCCCTTCATAATGACAGGAAGCGAGTCGACTTGGATCAGGAGAAGTCGGGGGCCACGAGCGGTAATCTAACGGCCATTTAGACGGTCTCCTTATCATGGCATGTGGCCTCGTTCATCATGTTCTAAGGCACGTTCTGCGAGGCCAGGCCGCGTGGTTGGGACTGACGTCGCACCGGGAAAGCAAAATGCCCCGCAGACACTTTATTTCATCTACCGGAGCATTCATGCTAATTTTTCCAAATGGTATTTCCCACAAAAATCCAATTTTAGTCAGTTTCATGTTTTGATAATTACCAATGAAAGCTATTTATTGCAGTAGTAATAAAATAGGATGGGAAAAGCTAGTTTATTGGTTTTTGTTTTCTAATATATGAGATAAGGTATAATCAATGCGAGTTTCCCGCTTCGGGTTTATTGGGTCGGAGCGGGCCGGCATTTGAATTTTTTCCGTCGAAACGATAATCCTATCTGTCGGCAAGAGGTCGTTTAGAGCTGACGAGGTTATTAGGTATCAATTTCTAAGTGCGGTGATTGCGGCAAATTGGGGAGTGAACTCAAAAAATTACTCGATTAAAAATTTTCTCGTGCACATTTAGCCGGTGGGTGAAAAGTTTGAGGCTGATTTATTCGTTCCTTTAGCAATAGAAAATCGATTATCAGGTACACACAGCACTAACGACTGTCGGAACTGATAGAACCATCGACAAAAGCGCTTGTGTTGCATCGAAACGATTCCAGAAACGTGCTTCCGTGATTTACGGCCTCAGATGATGGAGCCAAGCGGCCAGTCCGGCAAGGCCGAGTAATGGCCCGCACGTCGGAAAGACGTGCTCACGTAACTCCATCACTGGGGACTGGGGGCTCACCACGGCTCGTGGCCAAACGGCAATCTGCTCTAACTGCATTAGGCGAGTTACAGTCTAGTCGCTTTGTCTACATAATTAACGTTATTTGCCTTTAATGATCAAAAATACGTCTTCTCGGACCCGCACTCTGACTGACGCTTTTTTAACCCTCGTTGGGTTCATTAACGACCCGTCGTTTTGAATACAATATCTTGTTTATCTATGAATTGCAAACTCGGGAGAATAGCGAAATAATTGCGTTAACGCCACCCACAGTAGCTCAACTGACCTAACAAATTTTAATGAAGCAAAATATGAAGATGACAGGATTTGGGTTTGATCGAATATATGCCATATATTTGGTATTATAATGCCGTATGCATATATACAAAATTTTTGGTCCGATGTGTGTCGAAAGAGGGTTGAAAAACACATACAATAAAACATTTCGAACATCACGCTAGGGACATTTAAGCATCATCAGGATTCTGGAGTGACCCTAAAATAACATATGAGTGTTCGTTGAGAGATCATAGCGATTTAAACATCGGTTAATGCGTTCAACAGTCTTTATTTAGAGAATTACGACTTCCTTTTATATCAAACGAATTTCGTACGAAACAATTTGCCATAACATTCGCTACGCTTCCGGTATAAAAGAATTGATTCCATTTTAAGATTACTGAAATTCTGTAAAACGAATTCTCCAGCTACATTGAATATTTATGTGAAAGGCTGCATACGTTTGTTTTAGTCTAACTAGTTTTCAGTTGTAGGCGACTTTATCAATCTCAGAAAATTACTTAGAACTTAAACGAAACTTGCGAAAATTATAAAATGTGTTATAAATTTTTAGTGTTATGAATTATTGCTGACATTAATATATAAAATTTTTCTTTCGTGCAATACTGTGACCTTTGGTCGCTCGAGAAACAGATGTGATCTAAGATTCGACGAACACATACGGTTTTGGCGTTTTTAATGGATTTATTGGTTATTAAAATGCAAAACGCAAACACAAATGCAAAACGTAATTGATTAAAACTTATTATTCCGGCACGATGCAAACGATATGGTCATCTAAATTTCAAATTTTTAATGACGATATTTTCACCAGTCTACGTAATGTTTCACGCCTTCACACCCCTTCACACGCCTACAAGACTTCGGATTTTAAATTGTTAAAACACTTGGACAAGTTTGAGATATGAGATTTTTATTTTTACAAATGTTACTGGATTTGGTTTTATGTAAAGACACGGTTAGTCATGTTTACGCTGTACACTTGACTGTAGAACCAGAGAGAAAACAATAAAATAGCACGGCAGAATGAAAATGGCTCATATGTACAACATAAGGGCGACATGAAGCTTGAAGAATGCAGGTTTACGACATTTGTCTAGCTTTCCTGTGTTACGGCAAATAATAGAAATGTTCGTGTTGAATTTAAAGTCGATATGTAGGTACAGTATGAGTCAAGAAAAGTGCAATCCACTTGACTTGAACGTCATATAATTTGATAGGCTTGGTAATACACTTTGTAGGTGCGAGAGTTGTGAAGTCGATTGCATCTGACGTTCAGAAGCGAAGCGATTTCTTTGAAGAGTTCCTGACCCTCGTCTGGAGAACAACATCGGATTGTTTTTAAGTAGAGTACGCTTCATTAAAACTGTGCTCATTAAATTTAGTGCTTATATACCCCATTAAAATCCGGTTGAAAAATAAGGCTGAAATACGAGAAATAGAGAGGGGTTTCTTTCCTTCGTGCTCACAATGGCATGATTACTGCAATATTGGTCGCCGCC